TGCGGTTTGAGTCCCAGACCCGGTGGCTTAAACTCAGGCCGAGTGCGTGTGCATATGCCCAAGATCCCGGGAGGAAACTGGAGGAGAAGGGATTGCAGCATGGCCATCCCTCCTGGGGGGTAATTTCTCGCTTTCTGTCTCTCTGTCTTTCTGGAGAGTGCACGCATCCTATAGCAAAAACCTCTCAACAATTTGTTTTTTAATAAATTTACTTTTATGCAAAAATAAGCTAAGATGTTTTATGGGCCTTTCTTTTGCATCACTGGTTCAAAGTCAGGTCCTCTGCTTACACTGAATTTCTTTTCTCCTGTTACCTTCCTCCATGAATGTTGCTATTTAAACGAAGAATCAGGAATTAACTTCTCATAGGACCAGGGACTCTGGTTTCAGTACTTTGGAAATGTAATGTCAACACAACCCCATTCTGTGTCTGCAGACTTGGAGTGACACTGGGTTTGTTCCCCTAGAGCACTGGGTCAAACTGAGTAGGCATGCAGTCTTGTGCTTTTTTCATAATTTAAAAAAGAAGTTAGGGTGATTGATGCTCACGTTCAGAATTCGGATGCTTTGGGAACCACCAGTTAGCGTAATGGCTATGTCACTGGAGTCCCACGTAGTTGACCGCGGTTCGCGTCCCGAACCCGGTAGCTTAAAACTCACACCAGGCGCATGTGCGTGCGTGCCCAAGATCCCGAGAGGAGAATGGAGGAGAAGGGATTGCGGCGTGACCATCCCCCCTGGGGGGTGATTTCTCGCTTTCTGTCTCTATGTCTCTCTCTCTCTCTCTGTCTGGCGAGCGCCCTATAGCGAAAACCTCTCCAAAAAAAAAAAAAAGAATTCGGGTCCTTTTGCTTTATAATGACAAAAATGAAGCTAACCACAAGTTCTTTTGCGTTCATGACGGACAGCCAAGTGCGACGGAGGGGTCCGAACACAGTGTCCATAATCCAGGTTTCTAGGAAGCATGCAGAGATGTATATAAAAGAATCCCAAGTGAGGTCGGTGCTCTGGGGAGATCTCTGTTTCCTGCAAATAACCTCTTGAGAACAGAGAGCGAGCCAAAAGCGGAGAGAGATTCATTTAATTCCCTTCTCTTCTCTTTTCCAGTTTGCAGCCAAGCAGGCCACTGAGACCTGTGGGCTTGGCTTAGGGGAGAAACCCCTGTGGAAGGTGGGCTCACGGCCCAGCCCCGCCTCCCCACCGTCGCAGCCAGTAGGGACCGGCCCACCAGGGGCGCGGCCAATGGGAGGAGCCAGAGGAGGGAGGAGAGCTGCCTTTTAAGAAACTGCCGGGCGCCGCGCCTGTTCCGCGGCGCTCGGAGAGTAGCACCTGTTTGGCTGTGGGCACCATGACCCTGCAGGTAACCCAGCGGGTGGGGAGGCCGCGTAGTAGGGATGCTCAGAGAGGGAAACGCTCAAGAGGGCGTGGGGGCAGTCACAGACAGCTCCTGGGCAGCTCCTGCCTCCTTCACTCCCACCCCCGGGAGCTTTCGGTCTCGGCCCTGCGGACACTCCCACCCGTTCCCGAGGCCCTTTAGCACAATATGGACCACGCTGTGCCGTTTGTTGACAAGGAGCCGGGGCTCCCCCTGGCAACCCTTCTGAGCCCCAGGGACTGGGTAGGATTCTGAGAGCGGAAAGGTAGGCACGAGCCCCAGGCAGTAATTTCAAAAAAAGCAGTTTTAACTTTAATAAATCAAAGAAATGCTAAGGAACTTTGCTTACAACTTAAAGCCAGGAAACAGTCAGGATTCTGTTCAAATAGTAGGTACATGGGCCTATCGACAGCTCAAGACAGGACAAAAATCCTTAAAACTGAGAAACAAGTCTAGAAGAAAATCAGCAATGTTTTAGTCAAACGTGGAACTTGCTATTAAAGTAAATTATTGACGATAACATGCATGATTAAGCCACTCTGCAGTATATTCTGGATGGGAAATCACATTTTGTATGCTGTGATGATACTTAGGGAATGAATGTAAATTTTTAAAAATGTTTCAGAAATAAATTAATTAATTAAAAAAAAGAAGAAGAAGCCAACCCTGCTCCACACCCCTGTCTTCATCTCGGAGAGGGAGGCAGGATCGTTGGTTCTCACTCGGCACCCCCTTGCTCTGCGATATGTCCAGGGGCTCATGTACCCAGGTGTTTTTCTGAATCGATTTAAAAATACTGGTTTACTGATAGGCAACATGGTACATGTTAGAGGTAGAAAACTGGGAAAGAGAACACATGTAAATAAAAATCACCAGGAATTTCTTCATCCAGGTGATAACCACTGCTAACATGTTGGGTTACTGCTTTGTATGTTTTTTTTCTATGTATGAATGTGCATGTGACTATAGGCTCACATGTTAGTAGTGCATATGCCTACACTATAATGTTATTGTGCATATAGATGCAGTTTTGTTCTTGTACTTAACTGTATTAGAACATGTCTCATCACTAAATGTATTTCTAAAATATCATTTTTAAATGAATAAAATTCCATGGTATAAGAATGGTTAACTTCTTTAACCATGTCTTCAGGCAAGATGCTGTAGTGGGTAAAGGCATATATACTCCGTAGTTACTTGGGTTGAAATTCGTGCCTCACTCCTTAGCCTGTGACATGGTTATTTAACCTCTCTCTGTGCCTCAGTTTCCTCCTCTAAAACTAGAGCAGAGATACTATTAAAGGAGCTACACATGGAGTGGGCAGGTGGCATCGTGTTTAAGGTGCTGGATTCACACATGGCTAACCACAGTTTGAGTCCTGGACCTGGTGGCTTGTTTTCTCACTTGCCTTCTCTCCCTCTCTCTCTCTGGTCAAATTTTAAAATAATAATAATAAATTTTAAAAATTAAATAATTCTTTAGGAAAACATGGTAAGTTAAAAGCAAAGAAGCTACACATACAGAACATTTAAAATTGTAATGGCTTGTGATAATTGTTTAATAAGGATTAGCTTGTTGTTGAGTATTTATATGTTTTTCTCTGATGTATGATTTAGGTAATTCATAATCAACTTTACCCAAAATAATCCGAAGATTAGAAAGGTTCCTTTTTAGCTTAGTACTTTTGTTTTTTAATTATCGTTGTTTGCTTTGAAAATATTTTTGATGAGAATTTAAAAGTCGAGGATCATCACAGGAAAGCAGCGTGCTAAGAAATGTCACTGAGTACTGTGATGTTATCTGCCAACAATCTAGTAATACTTGAGTATTAAGAATACTGGAGAAAAATAACTTTTAAAAAAAGACAACAACTGCCTGACATATTGAAACCTCTTCCCTCTGTCACCTGTTTCCTCTGGCACATGCGGGCATCATGTCGGTGCTTGAGCTCTGTCCGGCTGCTGTGACGGCTCTCAGTGCAAGTCAGAGGAAAAGTGGCTTGATGGGGCTGTTGCCTTCTATGTATTTATGCTAGAATAAGTAGTACTGACAGACTTTCATGGAAGTGGCAAACAAATGGAATTTCTAATTCAGCTATCACCTTTCAAATTCATTTTAGAATTATCATGTGTTTATTTCCTTACCAAAGTTTTTCAGAAAGCTGACCATCATTCTACCTGGTTATATTTCTTTCCTAAGTAACAAAGGTAGAAGCAAGCGCCTACTTCAAGAGTATGCATCTTTTTCTTTTTTTTTTTTTTTTTTTGGAGAGATATTTTGCTGTGGGGTGCGGGCGCTCGCCAGAGAGACAGAGACAGAAAGTGAGAAATCACCCTCCTCCTCCGGAGGGATGGCCATACTGCAATCCCTTCTCCTCCATTCTCCTCTCAGGATCTTGGGCATGCACACATATGTGCCCGGTGTGAGTTAAAGCCACTGAGTATGCGATTTGAACCGCAGTTGACTACATGGGAGTCTAGCGACATAGCCATTACGCCTACTGCTGGTCCCAAATATGCATCTTTTTGAGTCTCGGATATTCATAATTTTCCGATGGACAAATAACTAACCCCTTCCCCAACATACATTTGTGTGACCTAAGAACCCTGAAGTTTCCCGTGTGTGAGAACTTCTGATCTTCCTAATTCAATTCTTCAGTGGGAAAGAATTGCTTAAAAAGGCTTTGCCAACCCTGTATGTGGGATGGCCAGGTTTGTTTACTGCAGGAAGTAAAGTCAAGTCAGGTGAGAGTCACCCCCCAAGGGTGTCCGCAGATGGGATGACCTGTAAATTTACACAGAAGCTGAATAGCTCATATACAACACACAATGTACCTGAGTTGACTGTTGGTAATGGCAGTGGCGTCTCTGTTACATGAAGAGTGGAGAAAGCAGAACAGGAGAATATCCAGGGAGAGGCCTTACCAGACTTCAGGCAGTTTGCTTTGCAGCAACACGGCACAGGTAGAGGGAGAGTGTGAGCACCCACATGAGCCAGGATGCTGAGGACCTTGCTTCCAAAGGGTCAGCTCAGTGGAGGCCCACATCCCTCCCTAAAGTAGCATGGAGCATTATGAAACTGTAATCTGTACTGCCCAGAATGCTTTGGAATTAAATGTAAATGGCTGTGCATTCAAAGCTGTCTTACTTCTGATAATTGTCTGATTTTCCTAATATCTACTCATTTACTCAACCAACAAAGATAGGCTCACTGGGCTCAGACCAGGCTGTGGCCACCTGGGGCAGTCTAAAACACTGCCGTAGCTACCAAGGTGAGTATTGGTGCCTGCCTGCTTGTAATGGAAGTGTAGGGGAGCAAACAAAGGTCTCCCCACACAGCCTTTAAAATTCATTTTAGAATTATCATGTGTTTATTTCCTTACCAAAGTTTTTCAGAAAGCTGACCATCATTCTACCTGGTTATATTTCTTTCCTAAGTAACAAAGGTAGAATCAGGGTACCCCTAGCCAGGGTAGCTCTATCCACACCACCTGGAGCAGCCGTGCCCCTGTCCTTCCCCCCAAATGCCCACCCCTACAGGCTCAGCCCAAGCACCGTCTCATCTAGGAGAGGCATCTTCCACACCCTGCCCCTCAGTGCTGCCTCTTCTTCCTGGGTCCCCACAGCAACACTGCCCCTCCCTCACAGCCAGTCTCAGGAGATCACTGTTGACCTGCTCATCTCCCACAGGGCTCTGAGCTCTGCACGCAGGCTGCTGGCCTGGCCCATTGTAGATGTTCCATATGTTTGTTATTGTAATTACTATGATACCTGCGATGAGCCCTGGGAGGGCACAGTTCCCAGATCTGAATCAAGATATTTACCTTCTTCATCATATTTAATCCTAACACTTTCCCACCGAGGCTGACGATGCATCTCACAGGAGCCTTGTTTCTCACACACAGTCCCACTGCAGGCTGCCTCAAAGCCAGGAATCAGACCGGAGTACCCTGCAAGGTCCATGTTCTTCACACCACAATTCATCACAGTTGTGCTGGGAAGTGCTCATGGCAGAGGGAACAACGGAATAGCATTTAAAGCAGGAATGTGTCAGTTGAGGTCCCAGGAAAGGGCAGGCTGGATAGCAAGGATGATGCTGGGCACTGCTGTGGGACGGGCTTGCCTACCTGGGGAAGGAGGAAGGACGGGGATGTTAAAATGACCTGAGAGACTGCGCCAGGGCCGTACTCTTTCAGGGACATTCTTGAAGACTTTCATTAGGTCTTCAGATGGTTCCATACCTCCCAAAATGTAAGGAAGAATTTTCCAGAAACTCCTTCCTAGGTGGCAGGGAACTCACATGGTTTTTGTGAAGCCCTAGAATCCTAATCAGGGTTCGACTTCCCATGAGTAATTGAGTTGCTGCCATTGGAAAATGGCCTGAGACGTGACAGCAAAGAGAAGGCCGGAGATGGCTGGTAACCCAAAGAGGAGGACTACTCTTTCTCAGTAGCCTTACCCTTGAGAAGCCCTTGCCATTCCTACAGTATTATATATTTTGTTCTTATAAATATAATATATGCCTTGGGACCAGCGGATGGTGTAGTGGTTACGCCACTGGACTCCCATGTAGTCAACCGTGGTTCAAGTCCTGGACCCAGTGGCTTAAAGCTCATGTGGCTGTATGTGTGTGCCCAAAATTCCATGCCCCCTGGGAGGTGATTTCTTGCTTTCTTGTCTCTCTGTCTCTCTGACAAGCACATGTGGTGGCAAAAATCTCTCTTAAAAAAAAAAAGTATATGTGTGTGTGTGTGTGTGTGTGTGTGTGTGTGTGTATATATATATACACACATATCTATATAGATATATAGAGCCATTGTAAAAAAATTAGCAAGCATAGAACATATTAAAACTTAAAATAGAGACTTACCAATAATCAGAGGCACTTACTATTTACATATTTTAGTATATTTATTTCCAGTATTTTTTTCACACAATTTACCAACCTGAGTATATAAAAACAATCGTGTGTCCTTTGTTAAACCATAAACTCAAAGTATTATTTATGTCTTCATTTTCAGTACTTTTTTTTTTTTTTCTAGAACTACTGTTTTTTCCCCAAAGCCCTTTATGATGAAATTAATAATAGCTAACTTTTATTAAATACCATCTTATGGGCACTATTTTAAGTACTTTACATATATTAACTTATTTAAGCTGTAACAACCTTGAGAACAGGCACTATTATTGACCCACATTCCAGATGAAAAAGAGAGAGACAGAGAGGTTAAGTAACTTGTCCAGAGTCACACAGCTTTTAAGTGAGGAAGCTGAGATTCAAACTAAGGCAGGCTAGCTCCAGAACCTGTGTAATATTTTTAAAGAATTATTCATTTTATTTATTATTATTATTAATTTGCTACAGGGCATGCATGCTCATCAGTGAGACAGAGAGAGAGATATAAAATAAGGAAACAAATTGCCAGGTCCAAGGCTTAATCTATGGTTGGCCATGTGGGTGTCCAGTGCTTTAACCACCATGTCCCTGTTGGCCGTAGCCTGTGTTCTTAACCATGGCATTATGAATAAAGCATTGGACAGTGTTCTGGAAGGACACTTGGAAACACGAGGCACCTCTGGTCACTTGCACTCATCCTTCAGTGCCTCACAGGAATTGATTAGGAGGCCGGGCCATTGTCAAGGTTACTTAGGTGGGAGACGCTGGCCTCCAGTTTACAGGTGAGTTTTGTCTGTCACAGAACAACTGTTCTAGTTGTGCTACTGTCCTGTCTTCGGGGCTGGATGGAAACTTTACTGAATACTCTGCTGAGGTCACGGGTTCTGAGGTTACAGTGAGGCTTACTCACTTTCTCTCCCAGGCCTTTATCGGCCATCTCCGACCCTGGAGAAAGAAATGTGAAACGTGGGACTACAGTGACTCTTTGCCCTGCTCTTGTTTGATACCCAGGCTACTGACAATTCCTGCTTATTCCCAATTTAAAACAAATAGCACAAGGGTAAGGTAGTGTGTATACACGTACACAGTTCTGTTAAAGAAATAATAACCAAAGTTTCTTTGTGAAGTATAAGAAATTGAAAGGGGGAAAGGATGTCTAGGAGTGCCTGTCTCCAAAGGAGGCAAGGCTGGATTTTTCTTGATATAAAAAATCCCAGGACTGGGCGGGCCCCATGCGGAGTGGTTAAAGGAGTTGGATCCCACATGGCTGACCACAGTTCAAGTCCTGGCCTTGACAGACTGAAAAACAAATCTGGTACATGTGTGTATATGCCCAAAATTCTGGCAGGATGGAGAAATGAAGAAGGGATTGCAGTGTGACTAAGCCCCATCAGGGGGTACTTTCTCCCTCTCCCCCTCTCTCTGACCCTTGCCCTCTGAAAATTAAGAAAAAGGAGAATATGCTAGGATTGGTCAAGTCCTGACCTGAGTTCTAGGCCAACCTAGGGTCTCAGGGGACTTGTGGAGGTCAATGTTTTCAGAATCAACTCAGGATGGGACAGACACTCTCATTCGAGTGTATTTGTATTACCAGGTTTCACTGCTAAGTTGGCTAAGCAACTTCTCTTGCCTATAAATTGTTTAAGTCTTAGAATTATTATTTTCTGGATTGAACCTGTACAAAAAAATTAAATGAGGAATGTTGATTGTACTCAGAAACTAGCTAGTCTACTAAATATGTATAAGTGACTCTGATGTTGAAGAACGTGGGCACACGAGCACTGGGAGAGAAACACCCTTAACAATGGTATTAACTGGCCACAGAGTTCCTGTATGTAGTGATGTGTGGATTTAGGAAGAAGAGGAAGACCCACGTGTCCACCAGGTGATCAAGAAAGAGCACTGACTATAATACATATTAGGAAGTGACAAATTGAGGGCCAGCTGATAGTGTGGTGGTTAAGACAGCAGGAACCCACATGGCCAACTGCAGTTGAGTCCTAGACACAGCACTTTTAAAACATCTGGGTGCATGTGTGGGTCTGCCCAAAATCCCCAAAGGAGAAATGGAGGAGAAAGGATTGTGGCATGGTCCTTCCCCATGGCTGTGATAGTGGTAGTATGAGTGGTAATGGATGACGCTTTCTCATTTTCCCTCTCTTTTTGTCTCTGGTGTGTGCATGTGCCCTCTAGCAAACTGTTTTAAAAAGTGATCAATTGGATGGGACCAGCAGTTAGTGTAATGGCTATGTCGCTGAACTCCCATGCAGTCGACCGCAGTTCGAGTTCTGGACCTGGTGGCTTAAACTCATGCTGGGCACACATGCGTGCATGCGTGCCCAAGATCCTGAGAGGAGAATGGATTGTAATCCAAATCACCCCAGGGGGTGATTTCTTGCTTTCTGTGTCTCTGTCTTTCTGGTGAGCGCACACGCCCTATAGCAAAAACCTCTCCCCACCAAAAAAGGTGATCAATTGGATATTTTCAGTATTAATAACTGCATTTAATTCTCCAAACCTTATCTGTATATCAGGTAAGAACCAGAAGAGGTATCCATGGGTTCAAATACATTAGGATAATTCTGATGGAACCAGGACAGCAGTTCACTTCTGTTTGAGACATTCCTCCTCTTCTTCCTCTGTCAGTTCCCACTGCTTATGATAATTATGATAAATTATGATAAACCTGCCTAAAGTTAGCAGATGCTCTGTGTGCCTGTTTTTTTTTTTTTTAATTGTTTTTATTTCTTCCTTTAGGCTGATTTTGACAGGGCTACAGAAGATGTGAGGAAGCTGAAAACCAGACCAGATGACGAAGAACTAAAAGAACTCTATGGGCTTTACAAGCAATCTGTGGTTGGAGACATAGATATTGGTATTATATCTTTATCTTAAAAATAATAATGTGATTTGTTTGGATAATATTTATAGAAAGATACAGTAAAAGTCAACATGAAAATCTCTCTCTCCTTCTTCTGGCAGAATGTCCAGCAATGGTAGATATAAAAGGCAAGGTTAAATGGGAAGCGTGGAACCTCCGAAAAGGTGTTTAATCTTAAACAAGTTTGAAACAAACTTTTTTAATCCCCAGTGCACCAGTCCGTGAGCTAACCTGTTTGTATCTTTCTAGGGTTGTCGAAAGAAGATGCCATGAGTGCCTATATTTCTAAAGCAAGAGAGTTGATAGAAAAATATGGAATTTAAAATTCAACACAGAAGAATTTTTTCTTTCGAAGTCTTCATAATGGTATCATGACCTAACATTTAGGAGGGACATGCACTTTATTTTTATGTACCATGTATACTTTTGCTATTAGCATGAATTGCAGTGGTTAGTAGTATGTTGAAACTATATAGTTCTATATGTGTTTAAATCAGGTGACTTTAAAAGTTCTTTTAAAAAAAACTAGTGCTCTGATAGTATGTAAACCAAAACCTTAACAATTATATATTCTTTTGACTTACCCATTCTCCAGTGGGTTAGTTTTGCTGGTCTAATAAAAACAATTACAAACAGAAAGATAAATAACCACATGTTCTCACGCACGCAAAAGCTTCAAAAGTGGACCACAAAGAAATAGAGGGAAACTGGTTCCTAGGACTGGGAAGGGAAGGGAGGGGAGGGCTAAGGAGATGTTGGTTAACAAATTCAAAATTTCAATTAGATAGGAAGAATAAATTCTGTTGTTCTGTAGCACAGAAGGGTGACTATAGCGAACAGTGATTTATTTTATATTTTAAAATAGCTACAAGAGAAGATTTTGAATTCCCAACAAATTCTAAACGTTGTGATGGATATGCTAATTAACCTGATTCAGCCATTATACATTGTATAGCATAGATCAGAAAATCACACTGTACTATGAAATATGTAAATAATTATGTGTCAATCAAAAAACAAAAACAGGGAGGCTGAGGCAGGAGGATCATGACATAATGAGGCCCTATCTTTAGGAAAAAAGGAAAAGAAGAGAGAAGAAAAGAAAGGAAGAGAAAAAGAAAAGAAAAACAAGTAAAAACAAAAGCTAGAATCAGTTGTAAGACCATTCCTTTCTTTCACCATGTAGCTTTGGGCTCACACTGAGGCAGGGTCTGTGTAGTCAGAGCCATACCTGGTTCTAGTCCTCACTCTGAGAGTTAACTTCTTAGGTGACCTGAGGCAAATTACCTAACACTGATACTCCTGATCTGTACTGGAGAGGAAATAATACCATTCTCATAGGGTCTTGGCAGGAATGAAACGATACACGAGCTATAATCATCCTATCCTTAAGTTAAAGCACATGTTATGTAAAACACAACAAATAAGCTGAAATTTCTCCTAGAAAAGGAGACTTAGAAGTCTATTGCTTTTCAGAGGAAGAAAAAAGTCATGAGATCTTTTATTTTTAATTTTTAGATTTAAGACAAATTAGAAAGATCAAACGTGCATTTACTGAGTGACAAATTACATCATGGCTATATCCCTTACATTCAGCTTTATCACAGGAATAACGTAGTCTAGAATAAAATATTGATTGAATACCCAGTCTTCCTTCCTGGCTCTTTGAAAGAAGATAGTCTCTTTTTTAAAAATTTTGTTTTTCTGTATTTTTAATTTTTTTCTGCAATTGACTAGTACTATTTAGGTAATCAAGAAATAATAAAGATTTTTAAATTATTTTAAATTGTGAAAAAAATTAACTTTACAAACTATTGCATGCTTTCGAATTGTCTCCTTCATAATTCTTTAAATTTTTAATTGGCAAATTCATTGTCCATATTTATGGGATATCCTGTGATCTTTTGATGTATGAGCAATTAGCATCTTCTTCTCCTCAAACATTTACCATTTCTTTGTGTTGGGAACATCAGAATAGATAGAGACAATGTAGTATGTATGCACAGTGGAACGTTATTCAGCCATTAAAAAAAATAATGAAATCCTGTCAGTTGTGGCAACACGAATGAGCCTAGGGAACATTATGTTAGGTCACATAAGCCAGGCACAGAAAGACAAATACTTCATGTTCTCACTCATATATGGAAACTAAAAGAGTTGACCTCAGAGAAACAGTATAGTAGTGGTTACCAGAGGCTGGAGACAGGAGGGAAGAGTAGAGGGTAGAGGAGGGTTGCTTAGCCAGTACAAAAAATAGTTAGGGGACCAGCAGTTAGCGTAACAGCTATGTCGCTGGACTCCGACATAGTCGACTGCAGTTCGAGTCCCAGATCCGGTGGCTTAAACTCTCGCCAGACACGTGTGCATGCGTGCCCAAGATCCCAAGAAGAGAATGGAGGAGAAGGGATTGCAGGGTGGCCATCCCCGGTGGGGGATGATTTCTTGCTTTCTGTCTGTCTCTCTCTTCCTGGCAAGCGCATGCGCCCTATAGCAAAAACCTCTCTAAAAAAGAAAAAATATATATATGTATTTATATATA